TTCACGGCATGATAGTTGTTCAGCATTAATCAAAGTAAAAAATATTATTCTATTATTAAAGAAAAATGTGTTTTGTTTTTATTCAGATTTTACCAGATAATAAGGATATATTTGTATCACATGCTACTTGGGATGATTATAGCTCAATGTTAAAAGTATTCAAACGTTACACAATGCCATTGAAACGAACACCAGCTGCCAACAGTTGGAGTCGTCAATTTCAATCTTCTATTATTTTTTTTTCTTTTTTCTAGGTGTCATTATTCCAGGTTCTGATATAATTTTTTCATCTTATCCAGGAACACTTCACTCAATTGGTTAGATTTCTTATTCAATCATAGATCTAAAAGGTTCTTTTTTATTTCTTAGATGATTTTTATATGACGGGCCCAGCAAATTTAACAGTAATTGAAACAACCATTGATAATTATAATGAAGATTTATATCGTAACATTAATCCAATATCTGTCCCCGAATGGATGCGAGTCGTAGTTGCTAATCGTCTAGCTACTTCTGGTAAAGAATGGGTCGACAAATTTTTCATTTTCAATGATGCAACATATAATAATGAATGGATGATTACGGACTTTAAACAATTTACACCAGGAACACCGCCAAAACCTGGGTAAAACAAAATAAAATATAATAAAATTTGAATGTTTCTTTTCTATTTGATAGATTTTTAACAGTTGCCGAACAAATGACTACCTATTATGAATTAGCAGATATGACAGAAATGTTAAATAATAAGAGTTATTGGGCATCATACAATAATATTTATTTTCCAGATTTTCGTAATATATCCGGTGAAGAAGCAATGGTTAAGGAAAAAGGTCCAGCATTATATTCGTGGCAAAATTCATCACGTGCAAAAATATTTCGACGTGATCATGATAAAGTTATCGATCTTCCAACTATGATTCATATGATGAGGTTAATTTTAAAAAATATCGTTTGCGTAAATAGATTTTCTTTATTTAAACCATAGATATAATGATTTTAAACATGATGAGTTATCGAAATGTAATTGTACTCCACCATATTCAGCGGTATTAACAATTGCTGCACGCTGTGATCTCAATGATATCAATGGAACATATCCAGATGAACTATTAGGACATCGTTGTGGTGGTGCTACAGATGCTAAAGTAAGGATTAGAAGTGGATCAGCTCCCAGAGCAAAGTTACTCCTAGTAAGAATCAATATTTCTGGAGAAAGAATATTAACGTAAAAGAGAAATTCTTGTTATAAATGAGCAGATTTCAGCAAAATAACTTGCGTGAAGTCAACATATGACGATCTTTATCCTAGTTCTTTGATAATCTACTGTTACTTCTTCTCTTTAAAGATTACTAGCTACGAATTAATGCAACATTTTTCACTTGTTGCTGTTGCTGGTCCAACAACGGATCAACAAATACCATTTATTTGGAGTCAATCAGATTGTGATAAACACGTAGCGCATATTGGTCATCCAGATAAATGGAATTTTACACCATTTACACCAACATGGATATTATCGTAAACTAATTCCGTGATAAACAATCATACTTTTTTTTCTATCGATGAGTCTTTCTTTTAATAATAAATAAATAAATATTGATGAAGTGTTTAATTTGTTTACTGAGAAAATTATCGAATAGCAAAGATTTCTATATAATTTCGAAAAATCATAAGAATACTTTATTTATATACCTATTTGATTCTATATTGATGTTCATGTTGATCCTGTTATATTATACAAGTAGCGCTCGCTGCTAAAACTCGTTTCGGTATGTATTGATTTGGTAGAACAAAAAAATGTAGAAGGAAAAAATGTCGAAAAAAAAATGACCGAAAAAAAAGAGGTCTGGGTGTTGCTGCGTCTTCTATTCGTCCATACCCACACCCACCACAGTTACAAAATCAAAAAAACATGCTTTTTTAGAAATAAAATCTGCAGTACATCGCCATATGAAAGAAAAAGAACATGATATTGACTGGAAAAATTGTTCTGTAATTAGTAGAGACAAACACTCATATCGTCTTCTCATAAGGCAATTCCTAGCTATCGCTGAGCTCTCACCAACTCTTAATGCCACAACTAGATCTGCCCCTCTAGAGAATGTACTGAGTTAAGGGTACCCGAAAAAGTACCCTGTTACCAGTATGTCACAAGAACTTTTGTGTACCAAAGTACTTGGAAATACTTTCAGGTACCTAAGTGGTACTCTAACAAGTACCCTGCTACAAAATGTCTAGTAACTGAATACTTGAAGGTACTGATCAGATACTCAATTGGGTACTATTGTATAGTATATCTAGGTACCCTGTTACAAAAATTTCAGTATGTTCAGGATCGAACCTGACCTTTAACTATTTTTAATTTTTATTTCTCTCAAAGCAATTTACTACAATTTTTTTTCGATTTTATTCAATTTAAGTTTTCAATTCCGAAAACTTAGCAGATACAATGCCGTGATCTGATCCGACTTGAGTTGGTCAGGTATCCATCAGACCGCTTCGGAGTAGTCTGCTCTTAATCTACGATCAAGATCGGCATGTTCTCGACTAAGAAATAGTCAAGAAATAATCTAGAAAAAATTAGTATGAAAATAGATTCATTTCTTATGTCTTACCCAGTTATTTATATGGAGCCGTGCGTGAAAAAGAAAACGGTGAATGAATAGTCGCTACACAGAACGCGACAAATACAGGGTACCCTGTATAGCTTGCCTTAGTACAATTACAGATGCGAGTATCCGTACAAGTACTTGTTAAGTGAGCATACTTTTATGGGAACCACACGCAGTACCTACATCAGTATAATTACTGAGAATTTTCGAAGTACCCATATTGAGTAACCTGCTAGGCCTTTCTCAGTACATGGATACCCTGAACTCAGTACTTTCTCTAGGGCCCACTATTGATATATCCCGATGGATGCTCAAGAAACTATAACAATCAGAAACAATCAATCAAAGTCAAAAACCATAATAAACATGATAAAAGCATCATATCTATATAATTCTTAAATAAGTATATGTATAATTCATCTGGTATGATGGAAAAAGAAAGAAAAGAAAAATATCGAAAGAAAAATAGCGAAAAGGAAAAATGTCGAAAAAGAAAAATATTGAATAGAGAAAAATTTATTTCATAATAAGCACGTATAGCATTGAACAAGAATTTATTGAGTAAAAGAAAGAACAGAAAAATCTATAACATTAATCTAGATCACATATAAATAAACTTCAGATGATGACAATTTACTTCTTTTTTGATGATATATTTTTAGCCACAACTTACGATAGTCCATCAAAAAGTTCCATCGCACCGATCTCACTATTGTTATACCGTGAATATAAAGTATCAAGTCTTTGTTGTATAGCTTGTGTTTTAGCAGTTTTTGGTCGAGTTGAAAGACCGGCTTTCATTTGAATCATCAAATGATTAAACCTGTTTTCTTCTCCCAGAATGCATTTGATAAAGGTCCAAATATTTGGATGAGATTTAGATAATCTTGAGTAGAGTCGATTATGAAAACCTAAAAATGTGTAAGATTGAATAAAATATCTAAGTGCTGAAAAATGGTGGAAACCCTCCGTATTATTATCAGTGCGGATTTTTAATCCATATACATTCCATTGTTTTAAATAGACTTTTTTTATCCATTGATTTTCAAAGTACTGAAACAAAGGTTTCAATAGATCAATCTTTTGTGATGGTGCTTGAAGAAGTGATTCATATAAATCATCAAAAGCTTGTAAGACTAAAGACAATGGCAAAAGAGAAGGAGCCATGATTTTCCTACAAATCATTCGAACGTCTTCATTGCTATTATATTCGTTAGATAATCCAAGACTTTGAATGTGTCGATATACGGCCTGTGTGAAGTGAAAATAACAACCTACATAATTACAATTAGGAAACTAAATAAACTAACATATAGTTATGTCTATTCAAATAAAGGTAATGTAATATTTACTTCATTACTAAGGGTAGGGTGGGGTGGAGTGGGGTGGGTGTGGGTGTGGGTGTGGGTGTGGATGTGGGTGTGGGTGGATGTGGGTGTGGATGTGGGTGGGTATGGGTGTCGTGTGGGTGTAGATGCCGGTGTCGGTGTTGCCATAGAGAAGATTCATACACACTCACACTCACGCCCACACCCACACCCTCTTTTTACCCGTCCTTTGCTCGCCTGGGAGGTCAATACGCCTTTCACACTTCTCGCACTCCAAACATGAACTTTCTGACGATTTTTAGGTAAGCATTTAAATTCTTTATCGAGATTTTTCGTCCACCGACGAACTGTATTACGGAAAAGCTGGAATGAAGATTCATCTGTAAATATTATATTATTGAAATCATCATTTTTATGCTTCTTTGTCCATTGTACGCGTCGTTCTTTTTCATCCGATGTTAATATGTGAATAGATTGAGGTAAAACATCTTTATAACCGTATCCATGAAAGTAACGACCAATCGTTGATGTAGACACTGATTTCTGATGTATTTTCGATATATTTCTCTAAGAGTTATTTCATTAGTATATCGAATGTATTGATCAATAGCTTTTCTTTCTTTTCCACTAAGGACACGTGGTCGACCATTTTCACCTCGATATTTAAGTAAAGCTGTTTGTTTTAATTTTTCTATATTATAATAGATAGTGCTCAGTGGAATGTTTGTTTCACAATGAATAGGAGGAGCAGATCATATGCCTTTATTCTAAGAATACAAAATTGAAATATGATGATTTTTTAAGTTACTGGTCGACGGCATAATTGAATGAATATATATCGAAGAGGAAAAATCATGCCTCTATATATATCACGTGTAGTATATCTATCGAGGGTTTACTCTTCGAAAAATGACTTTTGTAATTGTTTACAACAATTACAAATTTTCTCCATTGTAGCATGATGAAAAATTACTACGCCGTGCCACGTCGTCATTTTTTATCTCATCACAGTTAGCATCCGTCAGGAAATGGCTCTTTAGAAAAAAATAGTTAGTTCAATTTAGCGTTATTGTTACCGACAAAAAAAAAGTAATTTCATCTTGCCAACTATCTTATAGTTTTCTATTGCGCTTGCGATGGTGGCAAAAATCGTTGAGCTATCCATATGACACTACATTCTACTAATTTTAGATAAAATTTAGAAAAACAGACGAAATAAGAAGCTCAGGATGAAGGTGTACACGCTAGATACAGCAAAATGAACAAAGATTCCTACTTGATCTGTCTTAGCATCTTAATTTCAAACGTGGGAGGTGTAGATAAAAAAATTATGAGAACAATTGTTCGACATTCCTCTGTGGATCTTGTACAGGTGATACCTACATCCATTCATGTGATTATCTGCACAAAACAAAGTTGTTTAGGTTAAACTGATTTTTTGTTATCTATTCTAATAAATGATCAGACATTACTTTTATCACTTAGCTCAACTCTTAAATGACACCTTTTACAGCTATTTATGCATCTTCTGTTCCATATTGTATGACAAATATATTTTACACCCACTACCTTTTGAGAATGTTATTTCTCATAAAATGAACATTTTTTTTTCTTTTTTGATAATGATGATGACTGAGACGTAAAATAAAGAAACTAGATGGCCCTCTAGGAGCCAAAAAAAACTCATTCTCTTGAAATGAATGTTGTATCAGATACATGGTGGAATTGTCATTTTTTTTCTACTTTTTTTTTGATTCGTCAAAATTGAGGAACTTGTGAAAGTCATATAAAACAGTGTTATTCTCAACAAACAATTCACAACAGTTAGTAAGTCAAATAATTTTCATCTAATTACTTGTGAAAGTTATTTTTATTTCTCGACTAGATCGATGAGAGTCATTCGATATTTACTTCAAAATCTATCTCAGCTCAATTTATTTATTGAGCCAAATAAGCAGAATGAAAATAATCCTCGGACACTACGCAATCAACTTCTGACAACACGGATCTATTTGATTCTTTTGATTATATGTATATTCATTCTTGTGCTCTATACTTCTTCGAGCAGAAAAAATGTCTCAATCAGAATACAAAATTCATCAGTCGATATGTATCATCGTCTCGAAATTGCCTATTCGGATACATTATTGTGCCCATGCCGAAATGTATTACTTCGATACTCCAGTTTTATGTCCATTCAAGCGGCATACCATCCGGTAAGAATTTTCGTACTAGTTAAGAATGGCGATAGACTGAAAAGGAAACTTCATTCATTATTGTAACGCACTGAAGTAAAACTTTTTTCTTAATGAAGAAAAACAGTAGAACGAGAGATAATTGCAAACACTATTCAGCAAAAGCTGTCAGCCCAATCCCTGTGAGTTAAAATGTGAAACATGATGTAGTTGTTGTTACTAATCACGAGAATATCGTGCTATTCGATCTATGTTGTGACTCATTTTTTCATCATCTTTCACTTAATCCTTTAGAGCTGCAAGGAGGAAGCAGTTCATATATTCTCATGAGATGATAGTGATATATGATTGCTAATAGTGTATCAAAAATGTTTGTCACGTTCTGTA